GGTGAGGGGGGGATCTGAACAGGTCTAGGGAACAGATCCGGACTCTTCTATCACTGACAGCTGCTGCAAAATAAAAACAGCGTTCACCCACCTTCCCCTCGGGGTTGCCAGAGTAATGAACTTTCTGGAGAAGTTCTCCAGGACCACAACCCACCATTAGGAAGTGTAATTACAGGGTGTGAAGCATGCCAGCATTTCACTTTTGATTCTCTTGCTGCCAATCGAACAGTGCTTATGTAAATCATACATAAACTGGTCCCTTGCCTGAGGGTTCTGTTTCACAAAGAAGTAATTAAGTGGGTTTGAGCTCCTGGACTGCTTCAAAAATGTTTGGGTAGAGGATTAGGAAGTTTTCCCAGTCACTGTGGGGGGCTGGTAGGGGTGAAGTATCCACTGGGACCAGAGACTATGAATGTTTGATCAACAGAGCAGAATGAAATCTTCCCTCTGAAAGGGCCCCATATCTATCTGTGTCAGTCTGGTACACCTGGACTTAGCCTGGGCTGAGACCCTTTACACTGGACAGAGGCTAGCATGCAAAGGCTGGGCATAACCTAAATAACTTGCATTTGGAGATTTAAAGAGGAAGAAATTAAGATTTGTGTAAGCATAGGGACCTTTTGACACAGCTTTCTGTACCAAGAAAGGCGTTGAATGCACCTGTGCAGTGCATGGTTGCTTTTTACAATGTAATTTTGCACATCCAGCTCTTTGAATTTCACTCCCAGGTGAAATTCAGGTAGTTTTGCACCCACAGTAAGTCAGAGTACAGACATCTATGACTCCTCTGCAGCAGCTTAGCAAACCATTTTACTTTTTCCATTCTCTAATTTGGTGGTAGAAGTTCCCAGGTGATAAAGAACAGCTTCAGGGTTGTCCTGGCAGGGAAGCAGTATGAGGTGGACTCTTTACTCTGCACTCTGAAGAAGGCAGATTTTTCAGCCTGCAGTTCACACTGGCTCTTCTTTCACTGATCCATGCAAGGGAAGAAAGAAAAGGAGGGCACTGCACATGTGCCCCAACAAGAAAAGCAGCATCCAGCATCAGAATAAAGCATCTAGCACACAACTCTTCAGAAGCACCTCGGCCCTCAGTGCAACAGGCAGTGGTCTGGATGCACCTCCAGGATGCCTGAATGGCTGTTATTTGGACAATAACACTACCAGGGCCTCTCAGCTTAATGGACAGGCAATATGGGTAAGAGGAACCAGGCAGCAGGACTAAGTAGAGCAAGGACTAGGGAAGAAGGGATTAAAAGAAATGGTGTTTTGGAACTGTGAGGATACAGGAAGAAAACAGAAATTTGTATCTACGCTGAAAAACAGATTCTGTATCCTATCTTGTGGGGCTTTTTCAGTGCTATTTATGCACAGTCATGTCTCCTCCCCTGTAACCCTGTGTCTGCACCTATGTGCTCTCCTGCAAAACCTGTGCCTTACATATTTGTTGTCTCTTGTATCTGGCTTTGGAAAAATCACAGATGAATATATAGAATTTGTGTATTTGCAGATGTTAAGGGGACATCACAAACTGTTTCTGGGGAGTTTCGCTGAGGCAGAGTGAGAAGGGCTCACACTGTGGGGGCTGTAGCTCTGTGCAGAGAAAAGTTTGGTCTTGTGCCTACAAGAGAGATAAAAGCAGCATCTCTGGGGACCAGGGTGATGTCTGGAAGCAATGAGGGTAAGCAGACACATGAGATAAAATCTGGGTGCAGGCAGAATAGCCAGAAAAAAATCACAGTTCAACACCACAAGCCTAAGCAGAAGTTTATGTGTTGGAGAACATACTGACTTTCTTGTCTTTGAAATACATGTTACCTTGGATAAACATCAATGCAGTCCAAGGAACAGGATACACCTTCCTAACCCTCAGTGGTTTCGGAGACAGAAACCTCAAGAGATGCCTTGTCCTTCTCCAGATTTCAGCTTTAAGAGCATGCAAAGAACTGATTTTTACACTCTTACCACATCAAAAGCATGAAATAGAATTCTCTCAGGACAGAGCAATGCCTTGAATATGTGTTTTCCTGCTGGAATGTTTATCTTTAGTTTGTTTTTTGTTTTTTTTTTTCCCACTGGTTCTCCTTTAGCCACTAAAAAAAACACTGAAGCTTTGGCTGTTTCCAAACTGAAAATACATGTGTTGGACAGCAAAGTTAAACCAGAATTTCCTTTCTTGTCTTTAGCTGGAATGTTACCAAAATTAGTGTTGAGTTTGGCAAATAGCTGTGTGCTGCCCAAACCACAAATTTAGTCAATAAATTGCACACCAGGAAAAGAAGGACAGTAAGAATTTGCACACCCTCCTTCCATCCATCTTTGAGGTTATGTCCCAGTGGTCCATGGTGATGCTCCCCCAGTTCATGTCCCTGGTTTCAGGCAGAGGCAGCTGCAGTGTGTCTGTGTGAATGACCCTCACTGAGCCCCAGCTCTTGGTGTGAGTGTTTGGGGTTTGTCTATCCATACCCAACTGTAATCAGAGTGCCTAGTTTTGTTTGATGGGTACCAATCTCAGGTATCACTTCAATTTTTGCAGGGCAAGGTTGTTCTCTGTCTTCTGACCATGGTCACCTTAGAGACTTCCTGTCTTTGGGAGCTCATTACTTTTGCAGAAAAAATAGCAAAGAACCCAATCTACTACAGCAACAATACTTTTAACACTCCTTTCTTTTGTTTTACACAGGTTTTTGGCTTATCTTCTGTGGCACAAGTGGTATTGGGAAAAGGAAACAACGGTCAGTATCTGAGCATCAATATGGCATTTGGGATTGGTGTTACCTTGGGCATCTATGCGGCTGGAGGAGTATCTGGTGAGCAGCACTTATATCAGACATATCCATGATCCATAAAGGCCATGTGAATTGTGGACAGGAGTGGAGGGGTGTGTTATGGCATTGGAAGTGCCCTCACCTGAAAAAAAGCAGTCCTAGAGTCCCTAGACAAGCAAAGCAGGAGAGGCCAGGGACGAGGCATGCACAATGAGGCATGCACACAAGGCATGCAATACGTACAGAATACCGACCCCAAACTTGTGTTCTGAGCTGTGACCAGGCAAATGGGACAGGGAAGTTTGGCCAGCCCCTTCTGTTGTGGCCAACAGAGCCAGGTTTCAGCAGCTCTCCCATTTGGGACATGCCAGCATGGCCCAAGGAGACAGGGAGCTCCCAAAACCTGCTGCTGATACGACCACGGGGAAGTAAATAATTTATTGCAAAGGAGAGCTTACTGCTGATGCTTCAAAAGGAATGGTATGCAAATTTTCTCCCTATCACTTACACCCATGCACAGATGTCCCACATGAACTCAGGAAGTGGTGTCTGGGGACCATGGGGTGGCATCCCTCAAATGACAAGAGCACTACCTTTGCCTTCTGCAATTTCTGCATTCATTTGCACCAAGAGAAAACTTTAAGGGCCCTAATGGGCAGAAAATTAAAGCAACTCCTTGCTCTTGAACTGTTGGACTAGACAGAGGTCCAAACCTGGGGCTGGCTTGGAAAGAAGAATTTTCCATGTGAGCAGTCAGGAGCAGTTAGCTCTTGATTTTCTTGTCCTTTTGGAGCTGCTGGAAACAGCCTGGGGAAAGCAGACTGAGGAAAGTATGTCCTGTAGTCCCTAGTGACTTGTGAGAAGGAGCTGATCTGTTGAGGGCAGAGAGCAGTACAGAAGGGATCTCAGCTCTGCCAGCAAGAGTATCGTTACAAAACAAATTTCATACCTTCCTGACATAGTAATTTAGCTTCATCTGTGTGACAAGATGCTTTTTATGATCTTTGAAAGGGCTGGCCATACCCACAAAAGAGCAGAGGGTCTAAGAAGTGATCTGCCCCCATTCCAGTTGTGGTTGTTGGACTGTAGCAGGTGGTACATGCACTTCCACTTCACTCTGTCCTGTTTGATGAAATGATGGGTGTCTGCATCTTACCCCTTTTGGAGTCTGGAGTAGAAGATGGTCATGAAGATTGGAATGTTTACTGACCCTCAAAGTTGGTACCTATCAGGCAGGAAAAATAAATATTTTCTTTAGACTCCTGGGGACACGAGGCCTGAAGAACACATGTGGTTTGCACCAAGGGCATGAGACCCAGACCCATTTAGTCTTCAAAAGCATCACTGTGATACCAGCCTTCTCCAAAGAAAGTGTCCCATCAAAACACAGGTTCTCATCTAACTGCAGCTACTCAAAATCTGCTGAAGTATGGGTTCTATTTAAGCTCAGCAGGGAGAAGCTCATTGAGAGTCTCATAGGGAAACTCATACCATCACAAGAGAGGTATATCTGACAGGTGAGATGACCCATTCTCTGGAGGCAGCCTGTGGTCTACATAATTTTTAGAAGGCTAGCTAGGAGCTCTTTGACCACCATGCCTCATCTGTTGAGAGAGAAAGGTGTTTCTAGAGGACATACGGTATAGAAGGGTTTGAATATTAAACAGAGCAACTGGAGGTTCATGAGCAAAGCCTTTATTTTGGAGTTTTCTACCCTTTTTTAAAAGGTGTTCTGATCCAGGTTACCCTGACTGGTAACCATTGGTGGGACAAGAGAGAAAACACTCTCAGAACATCTGTGTCTTGTTTTGGGAAAGTAAAACCTTATTGACACAAACAGTCCTTAAGAAAGACAGTTCCCAAAGACTTTCCCTTGGGAACAATCAGCCCCTGAGAGCTCGAAATTCTCTCAGGTTCAGAAATCGTGTCCACATCTCACCCTTTTTTCCTATTAAAAAAAAAGAAAAAAAAGAAAAATGAGAAAGATGCTTAACGCCTGCTCGTAGAGGGACCGTCTGAGCGATCACTTGCATTTTCTGCATCTGTGTCATCACTTGAAGGTTCCTCCACTTGATGACCTTCATTCTGGTCATGGCCTGTGGTTTGCCTGTTGGCTCAGTTCTACCTTTGTGATTGCAGGTCAGGATGGACACACTTTGTAGGTACCCAGTGCACCCCAGTATCTGTGGATACACATGCATACCCATGACCCAAAGCCATAAGTTCAAACGGGCCTTGCCACTGCTTGGTGGTTAAATTTCACACCCGAACTTTCACTCAGGGCTGATGTGTCTCTCCTGAAGCCTGTAAAGAGGGGTGATGGTTCAAGGTAACTGGGTTATTTGAATTCTGTGGCACCTGCATTCTGCGGTAAGGTGATTTATCGTATACAAAGGTTTTGCCAATTGACTTTGCAGGGTTTCACCCTGCAGTCCCTGTTTTTGGTTTTGAAGAACCTGCTTCAGAGTACCATGAGCACGTTCAACAATGGCTTGGCCCATTGGAGAATGCCGAATGCTGCATGCCGAATTTGTGTGAAACCCCACATTTGCATAAACTGCCTCACTTTCTGTGAGGTGTAAGCAGGGCCATAACTGGTTTTCACAGTAGAAGGTATCCCGAGCATGGCAAAAGCCTGCCTCCAATGGGCAATGACATCACACGTTTTTCCTCCAGTGTGAGCAGAAGCCCACGTTGCAGAGGAGAAAGTGTCAACAGACACATACTTGTCAACATGCACATACTTGACCCTGCTGAACTCAACAATTTGGGTAACATCTGTTTGCCAAATTTCCTAGGCCTTTAGACCTCTGGGGTGTACGTCCGTTGGTAAAGGCGGAGCAAGTGCGTGACAGTCATCACAGGAATTGACAATGTCACTAGCCTCAGCTGGAGTCAAATGAAGCTGCTTTGGCAATGTGTGTGCATTTTGATGAAAGAATTCATGCGATGCTCTGGCCTATGCTAGCACATCAGGCTAAGGTGCTACCCATGCAGGGTTAGGCAATTTGTCAGCCCTGGCATCATCTTATGCTATGAAATCTGGCAGATTGGTATAGCTTGTAACTTGCTCTTGAACCAAATCTTGAAAGGTGACTGCATTTTCTTTTTGGAGGGACCATTGAGTTTCCCAGATGGGTTCGTCCCCACGCCCCTGTAAGGGAGGTGTGGGGCACTGTGCACCCTCCGTCCCATTAAAAATCTGTCCTGATCCAAACCCCCCAAGCCACCAGTACATCCCACCCCCAGAAGTTAGCAGTAGCTGTGGTGACATAAGTCCGAACCATAACAGACTGTCCCTCTGAGTTTGTGATCAGCACAGGCTGCTGGCTGACAAAACATCTGGCCATTCCCCCCAGTCCTGTGACAGGTGACTCCACAGGATCCAGAGGCCACTCCGGAGGCCACACAGAGGAGGCCAGGATGATGACGCTGGCACCTGTGTCGATCAGGCCTTGCAGGTGGATCTCTGGTGGGGTGGCGCCACGGAGGTACAGGGTACTCCACATCTCAGGCCCTTCATCAGTCAGGGTTGCAGTCCAGTACACCTGAGGTGGTCCAGTTGATTCAAAGCAAACGTCCCCTCGACACTGGTCTGCAGCCCTGGAAACAGGACTTGAAAGGCACAAGTTGAGCAATGTGTGTTTTCTCGGTAATGGTGAGGGGAGGGGTGGGCGTGGAAACCACAGCAGAAATCTGTACCAAATAATCAGCAAGTCCCAGATGCACAATGATACCCTGAAGGGTGGCACTTGACCTTCCCATTAGGAGGGCACTTTTACCCTCCCCCAAGGGTCCAAAGGCATCCAAAGGAACTCCATGCACTTTGCAACAGTTCAGGACTACTGCTGCTGCTGTACAGACATCAAGTCTGGCTGAGTCATGTGTGCTGGCCACAAGCTGGCTGAGTAAGCCTGCATCAGCTTCAGGACCTGGGGAAAGGCTTATGTCTGAGTGCATTTCTCTGAGGTGCTCAGCTTTGCATTTCCCTGATCTGCCAAAGGCTGGCCCTTAGCATCAAACTTTGCTGTGCTCTGCAATGTGCAAACTTCTCAAACTTTGTGCTCTGCAGCGTGGTTTGGCTTTCCACACCAACTGCACAGAAACGAGGGAGCTTTCCCTTTGTGCTTCTGTTTCCCCTGCTTTTTGGTGGCTTGTACTGTCACCTGCTTCTGCTGCTTACCCTTTGGCCCTTTCAAGGATGCTGGTAAGGCAGTAGCCAAGGCAACCATCTTATAATCTGTGGTGCCTACAAGGCCACAACCCTGAACCATCTCTGGTGAAGATGGATCACCTGGAAGAGCCTCTATTACCCTCCTGCAATCATCACTGGCATTGCTTCTTGCCAACTGTGTGACCAGTAGCCTTCTCAAGTTAGGGTTGTCCACCTGCTTTGCCAAAGATGCAGAGAGTTTTTCAACAAACTGCATATAAGGTTCCTTTGTCCCTTGGACTACAATAGTGAATTTCTGCTTTGGAGCTGACAACTCTATGGTTTTAATCAGAGCTGCAATGCCTGTCTTCTGGCACTGATCCAGCATCTGTGGGTGGAATGTAACCTGGAAATCAAGGTCAGAAAAATTTCCAACCCCTGTCAACAGATCACTTCCAACCTCATACCTAGGGTCATGGTGAGACAATTATTACATCCAGCTACTTTCATGGCCAGCTGACTCCAATGGGCTTCAAAGACTTCAAACAGGACAGACTGAAATAACACTTGAGCAAGGTGCTTAATGTTATTAATGTCAGTGACTCAGAGTGAATAATGCAAATCATCTGCATTATCTCCTGAGACCCCAGTCCATATTTTAGAACCTTGTCTCTAACGCCCATTACAGCTTTAGTGGATATAATTTGATGTGTATTAGGCAGCCCTGTTTGAAGATTTTCCTTAACCACTGGAAAAGCATGAAGACCTCCTTGTGAGGTCACAGTATCTCTTTGATCTTGCCCCTTAGATGTCACAGGAGCAGAGACAGGCACCTGGCTGGAGCTTGCCTCTCCTGTACCAGACTGTTCTTTGCAGAATTTGAAAAATCAGGAAAACTATCTCCAGTTCCCCTAAATCGTTCAAGGAGCTCCCAGTCTCCCATCTCCAAGGCTTTTTCTTTGACCTTGTCCCAAAACCGTCTGGGATCTCTGGGATGCAGTGACCTGGCATGGGGAAAGTGTCTAATGGGCGCTGGAGTTGGGACCGTCTCCATGTCCTCCACTCCGAGCAGAGACTTGCCCCGAAGAGCCAGCTTCACTGCGAGCCCCTTTGATAAATAAGGGAGGTTCAGACGCCCCTGCTCCGACACCCACGGTACCCGGGGAGGCGGGCCCCACGGCGCCAGCCGCCGGATCTGGGGCAGCTCTGGCATTCGAGTCCTGCTTGCAGGAGGGTCGGGGCACCGGGAGGGCGGTGGAGCTCACAAGAGCTGTGGCGCCGTTCCTGTGGGCAGCGTCACCCCTGGCAGCCCCTGGCGCTGCCACGCTGGCAGGGGGGGGCCGGGGGAGCCTGGGTCCAACAGAGGACCTGTGCTGGCTGCGGTGGCCGCTGTGCCGCTTGCGGGGATCGCAGTGCTGGCCGAGCCGCCGTGCTGTCCGCAGCCAGGCCAGGGCCGGCGCCTCCGCCTGCGATGGGAGCGG